AGTTTAATCTGCTTTTCAGGTGGAAGAAAAGTCGAAACGTTCAATTTTATTTTCTGCTCCTCGAGCAATAAAAAACAGATGTCCATTTTTTCGTCCCAAAGCTTTGGAAATACTCTGTTGTCATTCCGATACCCAAAATACCAAAACCAGTTTACGGGGGACGAAAAGTGGACATCTTCTTGTTTGTTATCAGAATAACAAAAAAGCAGATTGAACGTTTTCGAGAGTTCATCTTGATACTTTTCTGTCGTCTGCTACCTGAAAAGCAAATTTTGCATTTCCCCTTTTTGCTGGCAGGCGAAAAGTGGAAATCTGCTCGAGGATCAGAAAATAAGAATGGATGTTTTCGACGTATGCATTTGGGCCGCCTAAATAAGATTGCTTTTCTGGTATAAAGCTGAATAGCTAACAAGTAGATAACAGTTGTCGTCAAAACGTTCAATCGCCTTTTCTACTTTCTGTATGGCGAAAAGTAGAAGGCTACTTTTCGACAGCCTGAGTATAATCTGTTGTTCAGGTGGAAGAAAAGCAGAAAAAGTCGAAACGTTCAATTTTATTTTCTGCTCCTCGAGCAAGAAAAAAACAGATGTCAACTTTTCGTCCGCCAGCAAAAAGCGGAAAAGTAAAATTTGCTTTTCAGGCACCAGAAAAGTAGAAAAGCAGACAATTAATTTTTGTTAAAATTTTAATTCTTTTTTTTCTGTTAACAGGCAAAAGAATTGTATTTTTTTTTTTTTTAAATAGGCATTTTCTGCTATTCTGATTCTGAGCAAAAAGAAGATGCCCCCTTTCTGTCCTTTATGCTGCATGTGGTAACATTTAATCCGACTAACTGGACTCTGCCAATCGCCTGTTTTAACATTTCGGTGTGAATCAAATCAGGTACCGCAGAGGCTGTTCTTTGTTACAGAAATTCAGTTACAACGAGTGTACAAAAGGCTTATTCATGCTTAATTAAGTTACGTCTGTGTACAAACTGAATACAAATGACTCAAGCGCTAAAATGAATAATGAGGCAATTTCCACACAAAAGTGTACATGCATGGCTGAAAAGGTATACGAAATCTTCAAAACTGCAGGCATCACAACCTCAAATGTGGTATCACATTAAAGGAGACAACAACGCCTGTCGTTTTCAAAGGTGTACTTGTGCCAGTGAGATATGTTCAGTATGCACTTTTTGTCAAAAACACTTTTGGGTGGCTAAAATTCAGGATTTTAAGGAGTCATTTTGGCATCTTGTTTTCGCGAGTAAAAGGCAAGTGTTATTTTTAAGCTAAGGCAGAGACAAAGGTTCATATTCTATGCCAAAAGAGTTAGTTATTCTTACATGTTTTTACTTGTACCAAAGATGTGCGGACAAACTGTTACGCGAGTTTTTAGTCTATATCAGTATAAGTCACAAAGGTGGATTGCTTTTAATAATGAACATCTTTGAAATAATGTAATTTTACAATCTAAAACATTATACTTGTGCACTATCCGGGCAAATAATGCACTTCGGGTGCGGACGTGACGTATAGTCGAACCTTGTACTTTCTGGAAACGTCTCGCAAACCGAGATTTGTTGGTTAATCAGTAAAAGAGTGCCGGGTACAGGGTCGTATCTGGAGAGGTGTGAGGGTCATACCATGGAATCTACAACAGGGTGGTTCAAACATACGTGTACAATTTGTTTAGAGGCAGATTTCTCAAAATTGGTAAAGACATTTTGAAACTGTTTTAGGATATTCCTAAACAACAAGCTCTTGTTGGTATGGTGAAGAAAGCGTTGAAAATAAAGCTCAACTTCAGAAATAACGGCTATTTACCGGAAAATGATCCTGCACAGCTGTTTTTATTATAGCAGTTCTTTGGGTTGACCATTTTTTCACATGGTTTTGACCATCTTTCTTATGAATCAGCGACATTGATTCATATGTTGCTGATTCTTCTAAATTGAGACTTTATTTTCAGCGCTGTTTTCACCATAGTTATAATGTGCTTCCGAATAAGTGTTAACTTTTTAGCATCACCCTATATACGCACGCATAGTTCTCACAACAGCCGGCCAATAAGCGGATTGTGCTTATTTAACTTGATTTTGGTACCATCTTTTTGCCAACGCCCTTGCTAGACGCCGCGTCGGAACAAGAGGCAAGTCCGAAAAAAATGATAGAAAAACATGCAAATAATAAAATAAATATTTAACGACCCCCCCCCCCCCATTGATGAGATAATTACCACAGTGTCACGTGGTCGAATCAGCCAGCACGGAGCTATGTAGAGGTTTTGAAGGTAAGACTTGATAATAAAGAACAACTGAAGAACTTTGTAATTGTATAAATAAACTTCCTAGCAAAAAAGCAGCGGACATGATTAGATCGATCATCACGTTATTAAAGATATAACACCGTACATCCTAAATCCTTTGACAACAATTTCTAACCGCTCCTTCGAATCAGGAAAGGTACCCACTGATTTGAAAATAGCTAAAGTTATTCCCATATAATTATACAAAAATGGCGATCCATCCTTTATAAGTAACTACCGTCCTATTTCTATTTCATCATACTTTTCAAAAATATTAGATAGACTTGTAGCAAATCGAATGTATAACTTTATGGATAAATATCACATTTTGTAAGCGACTCAGTATGGTTTTAGGGCCAACTATTCAACTCATCTGGCACTGATTGACCTTATTGATAAAACTAAGTTTCTCACTTGAAAACTCTCTTCATACAGTCGGTTTATTTTTGGACCTCTCTAAAGCCTTTGACACAATAGACTATAATATTTTGATTAGTAAACTAAATAAATATGGAATTAGACAATTTGCTTTGGATTGGTTCAAAAACTATTTGAGTGACAGAAAACAGTATGAGGTATGGCAGAATACCAAATCTACCTATTCACCAATCAGTTGTGGAGTTCCTCAAGGTTCAATACTTTGCCCTATACCTTTTTTTGATTTACATTAATGACATTTGTAACTCTTCCAAAATACTCTCCTTCATTTTATTTGCGGACCACACTATTTTTTTTATAGCAGTAATAACTTACTTGAGGCAGTTGACACTGGTAATCGACGACTGTGCAAAATCTCCGATTGATTTAAATGTAATAAACTATCCGTTAATTAAAAAACACACAATGAAACACAAATAGAACAAGTTGAAACATGTAAATTTCTAGGTGTAGTTATTGATAGTAAACTTTCTTGGAAGCAATACTGCCAAAAAGTCATAATGTCACTTTCTCGTAACCAGGGTATCTTAAGAAAACTAAACACGAATTACCTTCAGATATCTTATTTGCAATTTATAAAACCTTATCCCTGCCTTGCCTTCAATATGGTATTTTAGCATGGGGTAACACCTACCCAACCTTTGTCATTAAATTGTATATTATGCAAAAGAAAACACTTAGAAAAATTAATAACTCCAGATATACAGAACATTCAGCACCACTGTTTAGTAAATACAAAACCTTATCTGTTTTTGACTTGTATAAATACCACCTTGGGGTATTAATGTATAATTTTGAAACAAACAATTTACCCAAAAACTATACATTCGCTATTTAACAAAAACCCGGATATTCATTCTCATAATACAAGGTCAGCCTCAACCCTTCATCTCCATAAATCTAGAACATCTCTTTACTTATCGACTGTCAGAACTAAAGACCTCTATTGTGGAACCATCTTAAACCAATGCCTATCTTTAGATCGATGAAGCACTTCAAAAACTACATGAAAACGTCGCTGCTGACAAATTAGACTGATAATTAAGTATCCCAATAAATATTAAATTCAATGTCATTTCACGGATTGTTGAAAAAAATATCATTGTTTTATTATTCCTTGGCCACTTTTTGCTCTTTCCCTCTTCCTCCCTTACCTGTATTGTAATTAATTGATTTCTTTCCTTGTAATGTATGGATGTAAGAAAGTACTATATAGGCCTATGTATATTCATACCAATGTGATATTTTTGCTGTTATTTTCTTTTCAAATTAATTAGAATAAAATGTAATTATATAATTCAGCCTATCGTCTGTACATATTAATGTATTAGCTTAATTTGTAATTACGGGTTCCAGGTCTTGTACAAGCATACAAATGCTTTTTTATCTGGATCCCGCGTATCATTTTTTTTGTCATTCTTTATGCAGTTTCCTGATTATTATGTTTTTGTGCTATGATATGAAAATAAACCATAACCATGACCATAACCAAAACCATGAAATTATCAAGGAAAGGCCGTGGAAAGAACCGCGTTTATTTAAGATCATGTCTGTTTGGCCCTTTCAAAGTTGCAATTAAGGGGTTTTGTCTTTAAACTTTCCTGAGCAGAATGATCATCCTGATCCTCTCAAAAATTATAACATTGCACTTTAAATAACACTTTTGCCCTTTCTGATCAGCTTTGGATATTCCAGAAATTCCTCTTTTTTTTCAATTTCTGTTCTACGAATTTCCCTATAAATTGTTAGATCGATCTGAGTTTCAGCTATTCAGTTTGTGCACATTCCAATTCCTCCCGAGATGGAATGTGCCAAGTTTGGCTCAACACCGGCACTGTTCCATTTAGACTCTGAAGAGTTTTCTTTTTGTAGAGCTGATTGCGACTTTCCTCAAACCATTTGTTCTTATATCTGTTTGTCAATTAAACCTTATTATCCCATTAATTGAATATAATTATCTTATTGATACAGGTGTTTCCTGACCAGACAAGTGCAGCAGGCATACTCCGATGACATAACCCTCCAGACACCGAGTAGTATACCGAAAACAAAAAGTCCTATATATTATCGTTTACGATCGAAACAGTTTCCAAACGTTGACGCGGGGGGGGGGGGTTCAACCAATAATGAAGAGAACTAACGGACGCCGAGGCGCTGACGGCAGCTTGGTCCGGAACAGAAACTCCCGTGTCACTTAAATAATTTCTTACCTTAGTTACACCTGTGAATGTTGAAACTTTCCAAGCAACTGCTTTCCCACATTTTCCAAAATGTTTCGACGGTTATTTTCAAGATTTCTTAAATTTTTTCGGCTGGGTCCGGACCGATCTCAACAAACTCGGCCAAGCGCACCCGTTGATCAACTAGTCACTTCTCCGTACGATCTACACCAACCTCAACAAACTCAGCCAAGCGTACCCGTTGATGAACCAGTCACTTCTCCATACAGTCCATGTCAACATGACATAATTCTGCCGAACATACCCGATCAACCAGTAACCCCTCCATCCAGTCCACATCAATCTCAACAAACTCAGCCAAGCGTACCCGTCGATCAACCAGTTGCTTCTCCATCCAGTCCACACCAATCTCTACAAACTCAGCCAAGCGTACCCGTTGATCAACCAGTCACTTCTCCATCCAGTCCACACCAATCTCAACAAACTCAGCCAAGCGTACCTGTTGATCAACCAGTCACTTCTCCATCCGATCCACACCGATCTCATAAAACTCAGCCAAGCGTACCCGTTGATCAACCAGTCATTTCTCCATCCAGTCAAAACCGATCTCAACAAACTCAGCCAAGTGAACCCCAAGTCTTCAGTGAGAACGTTTTCCTAGACTTGACAACAAGAATTGGAGACAAATGGACAGAGTTGGCAATCCGTCTTGGGTTCAGGGATGCAGAAATTGAACACCTCCAAGCTGACCACCCTCATTCGCAACAGCGCCGGGCGTTTAAGATGCTGAAAACATGGTGGCAGCGGTGGGATCATCTGCATGATGATGGGGGCATCGGTGCCGTGAATGCTCTTTGCGATGCCCTCAGAGAGATTGGAAGGAATGATCTGCTTCTGTTTGTAAAAGGTTAGTGTAATCTTAGACCCAAGACTTTTAATACGACTTTCCCTTAAAAAATGAAGAGAAACTACTGATTGGGGAAGGGTTTTTTTAGGACTCTAACAAGAATGTATATAAAACGATGAATCAGTTTTTTTTTGTGACATACAAACCCATACAGGGTGTATCACAATTCATAATAATCTTTCAAGTCCAATTTCATTCAGACAGAACTAAAAATTTCATTTTAAGAGGTTTCAGAGAGTTGGGTACGAATGCTTATTTTTAGCATCCGCTTTTATGAAAGAAAACCGGATATGTGCATGAAAACCGAAACCAATTTGATAGAAGATGCCACCATGAATTAGAAGACAACTTAATTTGGCATTTGCATTCGCTGAATGAGGCCCGGGGTTGGAGAGGGGCTAGACAACACAATAGGGGGTGCTGAACATGATACAAAATGTATGTACATCTTATGCAAACTTGCGCGCTTATACATGTACGTCCCTTAGCCTTACATCCGAACGGTGCATTTAAAGCTTCTGCACTGTTTACTCTCCGTTTTAGGACTCTTCAATTCTGATAGAGTATTGAAAGTTTAGAAGGGTAGGATGATGACACGACCCCACCCCCTCCCGGTCTAAAAGTCGGGGGATATATCGTCCCAATTCATCCGGGATTTGCGTCCAAGGTTTTCCTGACCAGTTTTGCAACTTGTTTATTCAATGAAATGTACATTCCTTTTCTTGAGGTTTATTTAGTAGGTACGAATATAAGTTTCTAAATCGCATTTAAAACGTGTGATTTCATTTTAACGTGTTTAAATTTAGTGTGCGTTCAAACTTTTTCGAGGAAGCAATTTCTGCACAGAGTAGGTCAGATTGAAAAAAAAATGTTTACTTGAGAAGATTACTTAATTTGGCGTCTCCATTTCGCCAAACGTTAATGATATTGGCGACTAAAAACTAACTTCATTAAATGAAATTGATACCATTTTTATTACGCCTGTTATTATTAAGTGACATTTCCACAAAGCAATCACACAAATTTAAGGGAAATGCTTCTTAAACGCAATATTCCATCGGCAAGTATGCAACATTTACTTCCTTCTATCACTTTGACTCTTCACATTTTTAAGGTTCGCTTAAGTTCTGAATTTTTCATGTTTCAACCTATATATGCACATATATTCTTCTTTGAAAGAGCTTTGCATTGCATTCCTATACAAGTATCAAGCTTTCACAAGATTCATGTTATTTAAATTTTGATACAATATATTGCTAAAGCAACTGCACTGAGCATGTGTTACTTTTGTAACCGTACGCACGAACATTGAATTCCCGAATGGGACTGAAATCCAAAACTCACAAAAGTAATTGCAAAAGTTACGTTAATTGTTGCTTTATACTTGTTGAAGATAAGTAAAAAAAAAACCTGAAATATCTTTGACTTTTGCTAAAAAGTGTCATGAATTTAAAACATATATCGTTTGCCTTTAATCATCAGGTTATGTGGAAGGTGCGGGACATTTCGACCCCGACCCGTACCGCGCTGAGTTCATCAGATACTACCAAGACGAGATGAGTGTGGTTCCTTTGCTCCCGTGGCTCCCCTCTGAGGTCCGTATGGTTAATGATATCTACGTGAAACTGAAGCTGCAAGAGAGAGAGAATAAAGCTAGGAAGGTGAAACAACAGACAATTGACTCCCACAAGATGTTTCAACTGAAGTATAAAGACGGCAAGCCGGTCAGGTTTATCTTGCTGTCTGGCATTGCTGGTAGCGGAAAGACTACCATCGTGTCAAAGATAGCAACTGATTGGGCACTACAGACGCTGAGATCTACATCTTCACTCTCTAATTTCGCTTTTTTGGTGGCCCTGAGCATGCGAGAACTAAAGGGTGTCCCTGATCTGACCGAGGCAATATTCGACCAGATCCTTGCAAAAGATACGAAGCTTGATCGCAAATCTCTGACGACTTACCTGAGTTCACATGCTGAAGAAGTCCTGGTCGTGTTGGATGGCGCTGATGAGTATTATAACGAGGGTTCCCAGTTGCCATCTAAATGTTTCATCACTGACATCATCAGAAACAAGATTCTTCGTGGATGTACCGTCCTTGTCACAACACGTCCCCACATGGTGGACAAGTTGTGCGGGCTCAATCATTCTTTCATTCATATTGAGACCAGGGGTTTCTCAGACTTAGGAGTCAAGGAATACATTCAGAAGTTTTTCAAAGGCGAAGATCCAAAGGTGTCTGTCGGGCTGTTTGGGTATTTGAAGGCATCTGGGACCCTTCTTAGTTTGGCGAACACACCAATAATGCTGCTGCTCATGTGTCTTGTATGGTCAGACGAACAAAAGCTCCCCGAAACATTGACAGAGTTGTTTAAGGAAGCACTTCTCTTCATTCTGAAACGTCACTTTCAAAAATCCGGTTTGCCAAATCCTGAAGATAAAGAGTTACTTGAGAATCAGTTGACAAATCTCTTGCAAACTTTAGGAAAAGAAGCACTTAATGGTCTGATGCTTCCTGGTCAGAAGTTGGTCTTTGAAGCTGGGGACTTTTGGAATTCTTTGGAGGTCGACAAAGCTTGCAAAATTGGAATTCTGTCCAAAGAGAAAATTCGAAGTAAATCACGTGCGGTTGAACGCGTGACCTTCTTTCATAAAACCTTCCAGGAGGCAATTGCTGGGTTTTATTGGGCGAGTCTAGTCGAATCCGACGACGAGTTGTTTGAATCTTACCTGAGTAAGGTGGACAAGAGTAATGCCTTCGGTATGAGGTACTTGATGTGTTTTTGCTGTGGTTGGAATGTCAAAGCGGCAGAATCCCTTCTTCGCTACGTCGAAACATTCGGCTTGAAAACTGAAGTTCGGGATTTTCCAGATATTTACTACAAAGTTTTTCAACACCCAAATGAACATTTCAGAAAGCTTTGGATGTTGATGCATTTCGAAGCACGCTCAAAAGAATTACACAGTATTGCCGGGATCTTTAACCAAGTTTTCCTGGTTGAAATGAACTGTGGAAATGATTTCACGTCTGCTCTTAAGTTTCTAGTTGAGTGCGCGACTTCTTCAGGTCAGTCATCGCTAACCAAGCTGAAGCAAGTCCTGATTAAAGATGTTAAATCGAAAGAAGAAATGTCAATAGCAACGAACATATTAAGGTACAGCCCAGAAGTAACAGACGTCTTTATATCAATTGTCGGAGAGGACAATGAAGTCTTAAACGAGGCTTGCTTTGGTGAAGCACTTTCAAGAATGCAATCACTTGAAAAACTCGAGATTCAGGGCAATATAGGTATTAATAGGTTGAATGTTTCTGCCATACTCAATCACTTATCCAAGCCCTGTACAAGTCTAAAAACTTTGAAATTAAGGTCATGTCAAATTAATTGCAGGGACTGGGCGATTTTCATAAAAAACAGCCAGCTTCGCGAACTTGATCTTGCACATGTTCAATTGCAAGATGATAAATCTCCACAAGACCTAACTGACATTCAAATTCAAACCACAAACCTGGAAACGCTGGAGATTGGGAACATGCCATTTGGAACACGTGATATATGTCTCGCTGGGTCGTATCCGAATCTTAAATCCCTGACACTACAAGTTGATTTTGTGTCCCAAGACATAATTAAATTTGTATGTGACCTACTTTCGACAGTTTCCAGACTGCGGGTTGTTTACTTAATAGGGGTCAGTCTTTGCCGGGATTCCTCCCCAAGCCTTGCCGAACAGCTCAAGAGCCTTAAAGAACTGAATGAGTTGAAACTCAGCTTCAGGAAACGTTCGTGTTCAGAAGACATAATCACTCTTGCCACAGATGTCCTGCCATCGCTGTGTAATCTACGTGTCCTTCAACTGGTCGTTCCAGAGAATTCATCACTTATCCCAGAAGCCTTCCTGGCAGTTATTCAGTGGGTTTGTACTTCACCGTCGATGTATGAACTCAAAATGTACCGGGATGTACATGTACGGTTTCTTAAAAAACTATATAACGAAAATTCTAAACTGGATAGCACTGACGCAGTGAACGCTATACATCAGCCAACCCCGAGCTCCCTTCAAAAGTTGACCGTCGGAGGGATCTCGCTCGGCCCGTGCATGGCAGCTTTCATTGAAAGTTTGAAGCAAATGCCACTCTTAAAGAAATTAGACATGATAGATATGGGCCTTGAGGAATCCCATTGGACTGACCTTGTGGAGGTTCTCAAGGGCTGCCAACAGCTTCAAGAATTAAATCTGCCCTTAAACAGCGTGAAGAACAGGGTTCTCGAAACTTTTACTGATGATAATTCCGAGGCTCCCAAATCTTCAGCAGTTGGTCCTGCCAGGATTGCGTGGGACTAGGCGCTCCGGCATGGTTCGAGACTGTTTACGGTGTCAATCTGCTTATGGTAAATATTGTAAGCAAGAAATTGAAGCTCTAGTGAGTGTCGTCGAGCGACAAATTGAGCAAAAATGAGGCATCTTTTCAAGAAATAATAATGTTGGTCTTGCTGTATGGACCACTCTTCGAAAGAAGAGTTACAAGTCATGTCACGTGACATCATGCCTATACAAGTTGCCAGCTCAAGTATCGTTTTCGTGGTTTCCCTATAATTCGATCAGTGTCCTTTGTGCTTGTTAAACGGCCATACTTCAACTTATATGCGTGGTACGCCAAAATATATAACAGTTGGCTGAAAGTCGGCATTGCATGACCATAGCAAACTGCCTGTTGAGTTGGTTGAGTTATAAAATTGATTCTTGGGGCCTGACATTCCTTTGTTGTTCAGTTTGATTGGGAAAACATGTTTAAAGAAAACAAGATTAATACTTAATGCGAATAAACAACAAAGACAAACTGGCCAGGTGCCTGATAATAATTGTTTAGGTTAAACAAAGCTTTTGATTGGAGCGGGGTTTGAACCTGAGAACTCCAGATTGCCGATCGTAAACTTTCCAAATTAAGACTAAATACAGTGCCTATTTTCTCAGTGAATAACAATTCCATTATTTGACTTTATTCTACAGGTTGTTAGCACCGATTTAATTAATGCATTTAAATAATTAACGAATTATTTCCGGTGCGATTGCATCTTTTTTTCATTTCAGCACTGCAAAACCAAATTGAAAAAGTTAAAACAGTAAATTGTTGGTTTGATGGGGCCAAAGCATTTGGTAATTAAGTTTCGAAAATCTTGTCGCCGCAATTTCAGTAACCTCACAATAGAACGTCATGGGGTTTAGCTTTGCACTCGACTCAGAGATATATAAACGTATATCAGATCACAAAGTATGATCTAACTATCACATTGTTTCGTGAGTTATAGTTGAAGATAGTTTGTCACATTTTTACCAACTTATTCTCTCTTTTTTTTACCAATGTGATGTCAAAAAAGTGTACATTTTGTGAACTATTGTTTCTGCTACACCTTGAAAACACTTGAAACATTTTTTTTGCATGTGTAAAAGTTCCTTGCCTGTACGAATAATTAAGCATGGGTTGATTGTTCATACTGATTGTGAGAATTTAGTCAGGACTGTATTTGAATGTATTCGAACTTCCGTTAACTCCGGAAGAAAAAGACCCAAACTTCAATGCCTTTGCTTCAAGGACAAAATGCATTAGTCGAGGTATAGTCCTGAAATTGCTTATAATTAGTCTTTTAATACCAGCAAAGCAGGCGCGATTCTAAAGCCTTTTTGGGGGGGGGGGGCTAGCAGGGGGATCCAGAATTGTTTGCAGGGAGGCGTGCTGAAATGTAAACCGCTTATTTTCTCCGGACACTTAATTTTGTTCGTGGTCCTTACGCGGGCCCCGAAGCCCACGCCGTAATTTTTGGGACCCACTTTTTGGGGGACCACAATTTTTTTGCCCCCCCCCCCAAGAAAGCGTTCTGGATCCGCCCTTGATTCTATGAAAAACAAAAAAATGAGTCAGAGCTGCCCCCCCCCCCCGGATCCGCGCCTGAATCTGTATGTTCTATTGCACGTATAGTTTTACATGTAAGGGGTGTCAAAAAGAGAGCGACCTGGATTAATGATTTTTTTTTTCTTAAAAGGGGATCAAATTTGATACACTAATGAAGTATGTCTTAAAAGAGTATGTTCTTTCACTCATCTGGAAAAAAAATGGTGAAATCAACGCAGGCTATCAGAAGTTACGATATTGAGCTGAGTTAGAATTACAGATTACAAACAGGCATTCAATTATAAATATGTCTTATTAACTTGAGTCAAGACTGAAACATATTTTTTACTGTCAGATTTTGTGTTTTGAATATCAGGAACATATCAACTCTTCTTTATTTTGAAATACTGATGCCATGTTTTTCCGTTTTCCTCTGCAAGTTTTCGTTCATTAATGGAGATGGGAAAACGTCCATGTTTTATTGTAGTTAATGAGTATTCATGCAGTTCGTTGAACGGTAAATGATCAGTGGTGGACAGATGAATGTTGTGATCTTTTTATCAAAATAGACATAACTTGGGAAAAGAGTATACAAATTACCTGAAATGTTTACAGTTACTAGTCAATGACATGTACTTTATCCTATATGCTATTTCTATCCAATGGAGCGAGCCACATATTTCTTGCAGTATTTTTTCTCATTCGCACACTTTCTGTTTGGCACACTATGTAGTGATGTGAACAAATCTTCATCTGTATGTTCTAAATATTGCACGTAAACTGTCTATGATAGTAACAGCTCTTGTTGAATTTCTGTATTTGATGAAACTGTCACTAAAACCTGATTGGCTAATTGTTTGGCTTACGTCGATACATATCAATGATAGATTGTGATTTGATTGTAAACTTGGTGAATGTTTTTTCATACTGAATTGTACTCCAAATTATGCAACTATGTAAATAAAGCCCATAAATGGGAGAGTAGGATGAAATAAACTCACTTTTAGTTCTGACTTAATAGAGGTTGGACCAATATAGAAGTCAAAGAAGTTTCCCGTTTTCCGATCATTTGTTGTATACTGGTGTGTTCCACTCCAACCCTAAATGCACTAAGCTATCCACCTGATCAGCTAATCCAATTTTACTTGTGGATAATCCACATCATCCACCATATATCCACAAAGTCAGCCATGCTGAGTAACCTTGGTTTGGAGTCTCTATTGAGACATCGAAGAGCCATCTCCAAAGTACACAGTGATGTGCCGGATGTTCAACAAACTCATTGACATCCCTGACAACCATTTAATTCCAATCAACTCATCCACCAGAGGCAACAGCAGAAACTCCTTGTTCCATCCACCCATAAAAACTTACTTAAGGACTCCTTCCCAGACACCATCCGCCTGCACGTGGCACTCACTGCCCCAGCAAGTTGTCGAGTCACCAACCCCGGATGTCTTAATCTTCAAGATCAAAAATCCACCTATATCTCTCTTCTTTTAAAGGCAACTGTTTGAGAGTTGCATTTTTTTGTTCACCCGGTAAAGAAGTCAGAGAATCCGATGAACACAAACAATAAGTATTTGGATCGGAGTACAAGATGGAAAGAAAGCTATATGAACTCCATGTAGTTTTTTTTAATATCTCCATTTTTAACCTTCACCGTGCGCGGGTCGATACTAGGTTTTCGTTTCCATGACGATATTTTCTCGACAATGTTGAAAGATTTCATCCGAATAAATATCAATATCGCGGTTTTTTTTTTACAGAAATATGTTAATCAGACCACAAGTGCATAGTTTATGCATACCAGCATAAATATACGGACACACTAAAGATGCTTAACTCAGTAAAATTCTGTTCTGTCATCGTTCTTTTCGAGATGTTTTCTTGCTGGGTGACTCTGGGCTCCATCCCCGTCCACCCACCTGGCAGATATTTCAGGGGACTAGGTACTACGTGCACTCGGTTCCCATGGCCTGGGCTCAAGCCAAGGAATTCTGCCAGAAGATGGGAGGCAACCTGCTGATGCCCAAGTCATCTGAGGAGAACGCGTTCGCCAACTCGCTGCTGGAGGAACGCGGGGCGACTACAGCGTGGCTTAACTGTCACAGATTCGGGCAGTGGCTGTGTGAAGTCGACGGGGTGACGATGTGGCCTCCGTTCAACAACCCGGACCCAGATCAGCCAACACTCGACGGCAACTGCCTCACTATGAAGGCCGAGGATGGCAAATGGCGTCACACCTACTGCGACTTGAAAGCGACTACCGTGTGCGAGAGAGAAGCGACGGTACAGCAAGCCAGCCTCGCCATGTACTGCATGACCATAGGGGCAGACGGCCGTCCATACACCGACGGGCAGTGCGTTCACAAGCCGTAGATATCGAAGACATTGAAACGTTTGAAATGTTCATTTTTTAAAACTTAATTCACAATTGAAAAAAATAATAATACACAATAAGACGAGGCTGTAAAAATCGAAGAATCCATTAGAACTGTTGCACATCTCTGTGTTAATTTTGAGGGAACTTGTAAATGGACCCAGGATTTAATTTCTAGCCACCGAACTTAATGGACTTGTGATAGACTTGACTACAACAGTTTTTCTAAACTCATCTTTGCTCAATGAACACAGAAGCGAATAATTGATTTGATTTCCACGGACGTCGCCTTAACACTGCAAATGTGTCGACGATCTGTTCATGAATGACTGTGGCTTAAGTTACAAAGTTTCAACGAAACCCCAAGGAAAATGACAAAACCGTCACTAGCATGAATAAAATTACATATCATTTGTTTTTACCCACAGAAATGGATATTTACTGAACTATCAAAACTGCTTGTTTCGTATCGTGGATCACGAAGGGAGGAGTTTATCTAAATCAGTAGCGAGAAGAGACAGCTTTTTGTGTAAATTAAAACCAAACACCACGCGACTAAACCATTCACACGCACCAGTAAAACGCAGCAATCCGATTGGTTCTAAAAAGCTCACAAAACCATTGCAGTAAATGGTCGAATTTACTAATCGCATTATGCAAATAAAATTTAGAGTAAACAGTCCTGTGAAGATGGACGAATTGAACAGGCAGAATATACGCGTAATAATGTATCTTAGGGAGTGGCTCCTTAAACTAGTTCGGATGTGCGCAACTTTTCATGATAACTGTTCAATTTGTGGCCAATAGTACGCCGCACCGTGCCACCATGAATCGACTACAAGCCAAAATTGCTCGTTAACCCGTGAAATAAGCTGCTATAGTAAGCAGGGATTTTCGCTAACGGTAAGCAGAGCCATGAAATCCGATGGTCATTGCGCTCACAACCACGCACCTTTATTAACACAAGCGTTAACTTTGTCTAAAATAAAGGAGAGAAATCCAGCTCAACATTTGAGATTCTATTTGCAATTAAAGCAATGATGCAATGGCTGGAATTCAAAAAAGCTAACTTTTCATTATTTGTTTGCTGTAAATAATGATCGTAATTGCGTAGTTCGGGGACTTCAAACTCATACAAACACTGGCCGAGTACACTAGCATAACACATGACAAAGGGCAACTGATAGACTTGATACAGTGCGCAAGTCTTATCTGTCACTATTTGCTGTATTTATAAATGGACTCACTCAAAGTTCATTCTCCTTTGTCACACAAGGGACAATTATTTGAATATAGATATTCAAGTACAAATGTAGCCTACTTCAAATAGTTATGGCTATTAAAATAATTGATTATGATTTATTTTGATGATTTTAAGCTTACGATTTTCGAAGGTGAAAAAATCATAAATTTGATAGCGCCCATTTGTCCCATCCCGGCGACGCTCATATTTTGGGGGGTAATCCAACCCCTCTGGTCAAACAGTGAGGGGGTGTATCCTCTGCATCACCGGGGATTTACGCCGCCGAATCCAACCAAATCCAAATTTCAACCCGTGTGTGTTAAATGCAAAAAAATAACAAGACCAAGCGGGAATTTTGAACGATTTTCGGATGCCTATTATTTCACCAACAAAATGTGAGCACTTCACTTGCAAGAAACAAAAGATATATCAGTAAAACATGTACACGTGATCAGTCTGGTGATATGCAACGTCACTAATCTAAAGACAGTTGTGTCAAGATGAGTGCGTTTATTTTACAATAAAAAGAACACGCAGATTCAATTTGAAATTAAGGCATTAAAGATTAAAATTCATGAAAAAAATGTAAGTCATTGTGTCTTTCTCTTGCCTGTATTAACCCTCACACCACAATAGTGTATGCAATCAGCGGTTTATTGTGGGCTTTAACTGGTTTATTCGCAGACGGCATCATTTACTAACTTTTGTACAATAATTTCTTGAAAACGGATTTTTCGAATCAATAATCAAAAGCTTTTTAAGGTGCTTTGTAGTGAACACATTCGCCATCGGTAACTGGACGGCCGTCTGCCCCAATGATCATGCAATGCATGGCGAGGCTGGCTTGCTGTACCGTTGCTTCTCTCTCGCACACGGTAGTCGTTTCCTGGTCGCACGGTGCGGCGTACCACTGGCCATCCTCGGTCTTCATAGTGCCGCAGCTTCTGGCCGGGATGCTGTGGCCTGGGGCTGCATTTCTGTACCCTGAGCTCTCACATTCCAGTGCTCATCTTTGTGACAGTTCAGCCACGCCGCAGTAGCTCAGCGTTCCTCCAGCAGCGAGTTGGCGAACGCGTTCTCCTCCTCCCATCTTCTGGCAGAATTCCTTGGCCCAGGCCCAGGCCATGGGAACCGAGTGTACGTAGTACCCAGTCCCCTTAAATGTCAGCCAGCTGGGTGGACAGGGGATGGAGCCCAGAGTCACCCAGCAAGAAAACATCATCTCGAGGAGAACAAACGAACAACTTGTTCCATGGAGTCGCATCTTGCCTGTTTCAGAATCGCGAGGCAAGTGGAGAAAAAAACTATATACCTCGCAATTATCACCGGTAATGAAGATGATTTGTTACAATAGACTTCCAATGATTCCATGACATAATGAAACGAACAAACCTGGACAATGTAATGATGAAGCAGATGGACTAGTTTCCATGGAAATGAGAGCAACTTATATTGAAAGACTGATCACAATGTGACATCGCATTAATAGGCGTACAAGCCTGAACGATTCAGTTATGAACCCAGAGACCGCGTTTCCACAGTAACGTGATAATAAAAAAACATAAAAAATTGATAAATCAATTAAGCTTATCAAACAGAATATAAAAGACTTCAGTAAACAGCGCAGGCTTGTGCGTGACGTTTTGTAACCTCGCGAATCGATATTTCCACATCAAGAACAAAAATAAACCACAGAACAAAAAATGTTCACACAAAAACTTCTTAAAAACAAAAATTGTAACACAAGAAGCAACAGCAAAACATTCGAGAGATTCAATTGGACAACTCAATCATGCTTTTTATTCACAACAGGGTATGGTCTCGAATCGAGACAATACTCTGTTGTGAATAAAAAGCATGATTGAGTTGTCAAATTGAATGATGCAAAACGAAAGCACGACGAGGAAGAAAAAAAAGGAAAGCATTGCTTCCAATAGTAAACATTTTGGTGAATTTCGGTTTACACACTTGTCATTCCCTTCCTATCTATTCATGGATGGAGCAAGCTATCTTGATGTTCTGGCTCAATGCTGGTCAATACCTTCGTATGTTTTATCTTGAAAATCACTTGAAGCTGTAAAATGGTGATCACCTTTTTTTCAGATGAACGAAAGGTATAAATTACACGACTACACGCGCTACTGAGTGTTGAATCCTGCAGTAGTCCAAAGGAGAAAAGCCGATGTTCTACAACACCTTTAGCACAAAAAAAACATCAGTTTCTTTCAGTATCAAAATCTGGGGGGAAAAGACGATCCGTCGTTATGCATTGCTGCGCACTTTTATTGCTCACATAAAGTTTGTCGAAATAACTCGAGATTACTGACAGACAAACGCACAAGGTTTTCTGTCATTGCAAAATCTGAGTGTTGACTGTGTTAAAAGAACAGAAGGACTTAATTAAACTCTGGATCTAAATCATGAGAAATTATATTACATTCAGTTGTTAAAGGGTAACATATTGAGCTATTCGGAACTAACACACACATCCTGTCCAGCTGGGCGTAATGTCACTTTGTTGCCATAGTTACGATTGAGCTGTACTGCGCATGTCCAGTGGCTCTGCTCATCATCAGATGAATGAGGCGGAGTTTGTTTAAGATTAGCTGTGTCCCAATGGACTCAAGAACATTATTGAAAGATCACATTATTTTATCGCTAAACTTCGAAGATGAGTATGCAGAAAGAAAAGACAATAAAGACTAGTATTAAGACTAAGAGTTGTTTTGTACACCTCTTCACTTTCGCATGCAGACTGACAAAATTTGCTTTATGTTGTCCACCATTTAAATGTAGCAAGTTTTCGAGGAAAATAAAGTTTGTTCTTTAGTTGAGTGCATGATTGTGAATGCTTTCCCCAACGGTAACTGGACGGCCGTCTGCCCCTAGGATCATGCAGTGAATGGCGAGGTTGCCTTGCTGTACCGTCGCTTCTCTCTCGCACACGGCAGTCGTTTCCTGGTCGCAAGGTGCGGCGTACCACTGACCGTCTGTGGTCTTCACAATGGCGCAGTTTCTCACAAAGATACCATAGCCTGGGGCTATGTTTTGGTACTCCGAGCTCTCACACTTCCAACCTAGCAAATACCGTCGACAGTTCAGCCACGCTGTAGTCACCCCGCGTTGCTGCAGCAGCGAGTTGGTGAACGCGTTCTCTTCGGATGACTTGGGCATCAGCAGGTTGCCTCCCATCTTCTGGCAGAATTCCTTGGCTTGGGCCCAGGCCATGGGAACCGAGTGCACGTAGTACTCAGTCCCCTGAAATGTCTGCCAGGTGGATGAACAGGGGATGGATCCGAGAGTCACCCAGCAGGAGAACATCATCTCAAAGAGAACAAACGAACAGCTTGTTCCAGGGAGTCGCATCTTGCCTGCTTCAGATTCGCCAGGCAAGTGGAGAAAAACGCTGTGTAACTCGCAATTTTCAACGACTATGAAGATGATTCATTACAATTGGCTTCCAATTATTTCAATGACCTTTTAAAAGTACAAGCCTGAACGATGTAATTACGAACCAGAAGGACGCGTTTCCATAGGAACGGCAACGGCCATTAACAATTCCCACAACCGGAACCCAAGCTTGACAAACTAACACTGAATGACTGGTGATAATCTGGCATTGATCATAATGAGAATATAACCGCCTTCCAATTATCTCCATGACATCAGTAAACTCCTCAGTCTGAACGATATAACTATGAGCCAAAAGAATAATTGGAGTGGCATCAACAATAAAACTCGATTTTGAGTACACAATACCGGCTGGCGATTTTACAAATTAAAACGTTGGCAATTTCACCTAAGCAACCGGTAAAATGAACCTTTAACCACCAGCCTCTAATAGCCTATTTAAACATTTTCCACTTGAGGCGAAATACAATGCATTTGGGTGCACGTAATGCCCAGTCCCCGGACATCAGTCTGCCGAAGGGGGGGGGGGGGAGGGGGGTGGAGCCCGGGGTCACCCAGCCTGAGCAAGAAAACATCGTCCTTAATACTGAGGACGCTAAAGTGAAATCGCATCGTAGGTTGGTGAAGTCTGTGGCTTCAATTGAACGTCTCACTTCTGAAATGCAGTCATCCGGTGAGTGGAATGCCTGCATATACACCTTGAAATGACAACACTTAGCATCGTTGATGGATTGGGTGGGAACCCATCGGCTACACGCTTTGGTGAGGCTCATTAAGCCCCTGAGACCTTGCGCTTCATTTGGAGGATGATTATCTTGTTGTTATTATTATTATCGTTTATTTGACCTTAAAAAGAATTACAAACAGTGGTACAAAACAGAACAAGCATTACACAAAAAGTGTTTGGAAAAAAACACAACAAAAGGAACGTTCAAACATGTAATAAACATTTAAACAACCCAAGAAACATGAAGTGAAGGCATTCACTACAAAACGTACAATCTTTAAAAACAATCATGTATCTTTATGATTATCAGTTTTCAATTCAGAAAAAAACCCAAATCTTTTATTAGCCTGTTTAGCATTTAAATACAGCTATATTTGTCGTTTTTAGAAATACGCATGTCCAACCCTCGTTTTTCGTCGTCAAAATCGACTTGTTGCAACTCATCGTGTGTTTGTCGGGGAGTGTCAAGGGCGGATCCAGGGGGGGGGGGCCAAAGGGGGCCATGCCCCCCCCCCCCCCCCCCCCCAAAAAAAACGAAACCAATTTTTTTTTTTTTATGTGACATCGCAATAAAGGCAGGCAATGAGTACACCACCATCTTTTCCTCAAAAAACATTGGTTAAAGTGATCAGAAATTGCCTCAGATCGCACCACAGAGCATCTAGAATCCAAAAAATTTTCGGGGCCCTTAAGCGGGCCCCGAACCCCACGCCGTCATTTTTTTGACCCACTTTTTGGGGGAACCAAAATTTTTTTGGGCCCCCCCCCAAAATTGTGTTCTGGATCCGCCCTTGGGGAGTGTAGGCACATAATATCCGAAACGAATAGCGCCACCTACAATCCGATAGTTGCCGTCTCGTCCTCGTTGAACAGCGCCCGCCAGCCAGCGATATGACTATGATAGATTGCCAAGACAAACCTCTCCGCAGGTGGGGATATCAGGACAACCACGATGTGACATGTGAATGTGGCACTGAACCACAAACTATGAAATATTTGCTAAGCTGCCCTCAACTGGAGCAACCGTGCACAGCTGAGAAATTTGGACACGAGAAGATGAAAACAAACCTCCACATAATTATAAATACATGTACAATGTAGATGAGAACATTGCGGATATGAACAGGGCCGTGTCGCCATACGGCTTTGACCATGAAAATCTAAGCACGCCCTCATCGGCAGACCCCCACTTCCTTGTAAACAGTAAGGTTGCAGACCAGTAAATAAACTTCCACAGACCCCAATGGTAAGTGCTCCAACTTCAGAAATTCGGGAAAAATTCGGGAGACACACCTCAAATTAAAGCTTATTTCATCATCTTTCATTTTCTTTTCAATTTGTTTTTTTCTTACGTAAAGCTGGTGCAAATTAAAAATTAGCAAATTAAATTGAATCCCGTACACACAAAAAGATGCAATAGTTATTAAAATCTCCAAAGTGCTATAAAAGCCCCTTGACTCCGACTCATTTAAATTCAACATGATGTTTTACATGGTTAATGCATCACAATTTAGGCACATTTCGTCCAATTTGGGAGAAGAAAAGGTACAAAAGGCTATTATTCTGACTCGAACGAGGGCGTGGTTACAAATGGTCTTGGGGGGGTTCAACCGATGATAATTACTTGTTGCTGTAACGAGAAAATATTGCCAATGTAAATTCACATTTAAATTTTGGTTTCAAATTAAAGTTAAATTGCTCCAATAACGATGGTGCTTCAAAATATGTAGACCAAAACAAATTGGGTTAAAACAGCGCCCTCGTGAGCTACAAAATGGCAATGTGGACATTTTGAACAATTTGTAGTCTCCTGACGTTGATTAAAAATGTAAAACACTTTGATTTAACAAGAAAAACAAAATGCAAACACACTTCACGATCACTGAAACAATTCACTTCAACCTGGCTTTTTATATAAAGTCGATGCACTTTAATATCAATATATTCTCAAACATATCCTTTAAAATAAAGCATTTTTTTTCATGTACAGAGCAATTGTCAATGTTAATTGAACCAATTTACCAAAACAGAAGAGTAAAAAAAAAAGTTGTTCAAAACCATATCCATCAATTGCACATTAAGAAATAAAGCTACGGAGTACAGACTAGTTGTGAGTAAACCAAATAAAAATGAATAATAAAATAATAATAAAGCCACAAAAGAGAAATTAATAAAATACTTGTCTATGGTTTAACACTATAAATCAAAATAAGAGTTGACGAAATTAACTGTAACATTTACAATAGTGTAAAGGCACGGGCGGCGATGCTTTGAACTGGGCATCGCGTAAATTTGAAATCGATAAATTACGAGTCTTGTAATTTAACTTAAAAGCACAACATCATGTTTAGTTTAAATTAAAGAGTTGAACTTACAACTATTAAATTCTCGCAAAAAAATACAACATACGAATGATTTTAATCCCAGCACAAGGAGTCAAAAACAAGGGGAATGAAAAATGCTGACATTTCGCCAGATTCTTAGGAATTTGAGAAAACATAACATTTTATCTTAGCAAAATAATATTTACTGGTATGCAAATCGAATATAAGTAAATAACTTAGCCCACAACCATTCCAAAGTAATGCAAATAAACATAAATAATCTTCAGTCCCGACAATACTCGGCTCTTAAGGGAAAGTTGCGGGAACACCATTTTTTTAAAACATTTTGTTCTCCTTATGTTCTTTACCAATCTTTGAAATGAACTTTCCTTTTTTCATCGAGTTCAAAATAATGAGTCTACTATGGCCCCGTTTTTGACGATCGTTTTAAATTGATACACTTCAGCGACTGCAAGTGAAGATTTAGTCCTTAAGAAACTTTTAAAATGATGACACAAAATATGTATTGTCATATTTCCTTTACTTCTGGAAATTGTCAACTTGGACTTCTTAACTTCTTTTGCCGTGTTTTTATTTGCAACATACTGGGAACACTTTTATCGCTCTGCACTTTTTCGAACTTATTTCTTTGCTCGTTGAGCTTTAAAATCAATATGTTCAAAATTATCTTTTTAAAAAATCTTAAGCCTATTTTGAGCAAAATGTACACAAGCCAACGGAGTTACAGATTCAATCATGTTAATGAATGTAAACTGATTGAGTTATATTATGTAATTACTAATTCCAATGATTTTACAGAAATAAAATTATCATGTGAACATTTGTTTCATAATCTGACAACAATATCGTGTCAGCTCCTTTGTTAGCAACACGTTGTGTGCCATCAAAATTGGTTGCACAACTGTGCAAGTATATACGAAAGCTATCTCCTCAACAAAATATATATTTCGGGAAAAATATAAAGCAAAGGATAATATCTTCCCCTCAATTTACTATTTTCATTAAAAACAATCACCTTTTTTAAAAGGATCTATCGATTGCGAAATTAGCGAAATATGCTTGTCGTGGGTGTAATTTTCCACCAAATTGGAAAACAAGCATCTAAGGAAACTGACTATTCTCAACCACGTCCTTTTGGTAAGTCATATATTTTTTGTCTTTGTAATGTAAGAAAACTTTTTTTTAAATTGGACAATGGAATGTTGGTTTCGCGTCTCTCAGAGTTTGATTTAAAAAGTATAGGACACAAATAAATGTCAAATCAAAAATTCCATCGTACCGCTAATATTACCAGTTAGGCCCAAAATAAGGAGCTTCAGTTTCTTTAACAACCTGAAAAGGTTCTTTAGCTATTCAAACTTTTTAGTAAACGACTGTGGAATATATAAAGGGGGCAAGTCTCTTATTGAAACATGTACGTAATAATTTGGAGGGAAAATGTATGTTAACGCGAGCATAGGGCGTGGTCAACGCAGATTTTAAATCATAGCACGGACTGCAATGACCTCTCTCTCTAGAAGTATTAAACGCCCTCAATGTCAAAGAAGGTCCAACCAATGCTGGCTTGTAGAATACCAACACAGCAATTCCGCCTCAAAAATGAAATTGGAAAAATATGTGGAACATACTTAAAAGCTGCCCATCATTTATTCCTTACTAATGAGGCTATTTTTAAGTGCTCCTTGAAAATAACCTCGCAGCACATCAAAGCATCTTTGGCTTGAAATTAAATATGAAAACAAAAACAAAGAGCGTGTGATTAAAATGTCGAGTATCCGACCTTCTTCTAGTAGCGTCCAAATTATTTAGTGGTAAACATAGTCGAAATAATTAGGAGCTGGTCCCTACTTCGTTTCGCTTGTAGGGCTTGTCCAATTAACTTTTTCTACGGAGTCCCATTTAAGAATTCGAAAAACAAAACCCATTCCCAAAGGACACCACCACATTCCGTTGAAACCAAAAAAATATATTTCATCCCATTCGGGTGTGTTTTTATAATCTCTGTCGCCTTAAACTGACACCCTTCAATTCTTGCACGGCTATAACAGGCCCGATGTCAACACGGGAACCAGCGAATTGCCGCCTCCAACACGGTACTTATTGATAGGCGTATATAGCGCCCTCAACCGACCGCTCACATGTTTTTAAAATGTTGTCATCGCGTCAAAGCATAACAAATCCCCAATTCACACACAGGCACAAACTTTCTGATCCGTTTGTAAATCACGCGTGAAAACTGTGATTCTCATGCTACAAGTCAGGGTGTTTTTTAGAGGTTTTGAGCATCATTTTATCAGTACTCCTCTTCCTCATATGTTTCCCCAGTCTTGGCCGAGGGCTCGGGTTCTTTGTAGTCCTCCATGCGGGGCTCCGGCTTGAGTACGGCCTTCTCGGACTTGCGACTGATGCAGCGGCGGACCTGGGCCAAGATGGTCTGAAGGCGCCGGTCCAGAGCCTCCAGATGGGCCTCCAATAGGACGGGGAAGATCATGTCACGTGAGAGGGACTCCCGCATGACGTCACTCAGAAGGTACTCTTCGGTGGCGAGAAGTTGGAGCCGTTTGTACGTCGACTCACGTAAACTGAAACAAGAGCACCGACAGATTGTTAAAACAATCTTTCATACCAAGTTTCACAAATATAACAGCAACATGTTTCATGTAAGTCTTTAGAACGATTTACGCAGAAAAGCAGTTGAGGCTCCATTTAATTCACGCATCGGTTAAAAGGAGCCAAGGCACATTTGGCGTAAGTTGCAGACAATTCCCCAACTCCGAAAAGTTACACATAAGCTAAGTGCTGATCACGTAAAACGAAGGTTCCATATGAAAATATAACCCAACGTCAATATTTACAATTCAAGTTCAGACGTGAGGGAGCAAGGGATGGCATTGCATCAGAGCAGTATATAAATAAGGTTACAAAAGTTGCCAAAATGGTTGCACTATTTTTGTTGCAGTCGTTGAAACCCAAATAAAAGAAATAATTCACGAATCCAATGGCAGAATGTTTTCCATTCTTGGATCAAATGGCGTCCCCTCCCAGGCCCAGAGCAGTACCTCGCACTTTGCCATTCTCTCTATATACGCCTTTTTCTGTATATAGCTTTACCACTCTCCATCATTACATAACCAAATATTTGTCTTGGTATGAAAGGTTTCCATGCATGTAATAGGCGTGCACTTACAGGCAACATTGGAAGAGCGGTGCAAGAATGGACAACTCATCCTGGTGATGCTTCCCAAACCTGACAAGAAACAAAACAAATCATCACTCTTATTAGTTGCCATGATAATCCCTGGATACAGTATCTATAAAAAAAAAATAACACCCCTTTTGGTCATTTTCAATTTTAATCTCATTTCCAGACAGTTTGTTCCATGTCATCAATATGTACAAAGATAATTAAACAGAATACACGATGAACTCAGAAAGAATGGCAATTGTTAGTTCTCAAAATCCCATTAAATCATTCTCGAAATCTGACAAATTCACCATGATAAAAATAACACTTCCGGAAATTGTTGCTGAGAATGTTAGTGGTGACTGGAAGGTGCACAAAAATGTATCCCTCTTACGTGTTTTGAGCATCTAAAACAACATTTCACACTAGTAAGAACAATTCACACGTAACCTTCGAATACTTACATCCCCTTTCCCCCAAAAACACATTTGAATTATTGTCATCGTTCTAATTAACTTATTTTTAAAGCTATAGTCCATCATTTGCAGCCATCCGAAAAGTAACTGACGTAATTATTGTTGAAAAACAAACTTGGTTGAAAGATACTAAGGGAACTAAACTCCCTGTGAAATTATTCTTTCTGGGAAGCTGTCATTTTGAAATAATCAACGAAAGAAGGCATTTCCAACGGTGATTCTTAAGAAGCACCGTAGGAAAATTTAAATAAGTAGTTCGTTTTGTTATTCAGCGCAGCGCGCACAAGTATTGGAACGGCGCACACGCGCGCGCGGTTGTTATAATTCGTCGGATCAGTGCGCGACGTCGCGTATAGCTGCAATTCAAAACATGATTCAGTAACTTTTGATTTGAAATTGAGATCTTAGAATGCTGTTTTTCTCGGAATATACAGCTGAAGCTGAGCTGAAACTTCATCAGGTTAGTTGTTCAGTATCCTTCATTAGATTTTGAACACTTTTGTTGCTTCAAACGAACAAAATGCACAAATTACAAATGATGGACTGTAGCTTTAAGGAAATGCTTGATGTACAGATAGAGAAACGGACTGACTTACGCTCTTCCGTGATCTAAGTGAATCGGGAAAGTGAAATTTCCAAAGGCCTCAAATGTCTCGTAGTGATGTCGATCCATGTTACCTATATGAGGTGAAGCAAAAGATTAAACTGAAACAAGTCAGGTGTGTTTACAAACACAAATGCCCCGCAACCGTGACTGTTTCCATGACATAACACCACTCTAACATCAAATTACATGTACCTTGGTCAAATGGAACGTTCATTGACAGCATTAGTGTCTTCTGTAGGTTTTATATGAATTAATCCCTAATCCCTATGATCTCAGAATAAATACAAGATTTCTATTGTTTTAGCCACTGTGACCTTGACCCTTGACCTTTCGACCCCCAATGCGATAGGCTCCTTGGGATTGCCAAGGACAATCCACAAACCAAATTTGAAGTTCATATGTAAAGTATATCTCAAGTTATCGCGCTGACAAAATTTCTTTTGTTTTTGCCACTGTGACCTTGACCCTTGACCTTTTGGCCCCAAATGCAAAAGGCTTCTTAGGATTGCCAAGGACAATCCACAAACAAAATTTGAAGTTCATATGTAAAGTATATCTCAAGTTATCGCGCTGACAAAATTTCTATTGTTTCTGCCACTGTGACCTTGACCCTTGACCTTTCGGCCCCAAATGCAATAGGCTTCTTAGAATTGCCAAGGACAATCCACAAACCAAATTTGAAGTTCATATGTAAAGTATTTCTCAAGTTATCGCGCTGACAAAATTTCTATTGTTTCAGCCACTGTGACCTTGACCCTTGACCTTTCGGCCCCAATTGCAAAAGGCTTCTAAGGATTACCAAGGACAAACCACAAACCAAATTTGAAGTTCATATGTTAAGTATTTCTCAAGTTATCGCGCTGACAAAATTTCTATTGTTTCAGCCACTGTGACCTTGACCCTTGACCTTTCGGCCCCAAATGCAAAAGGCTTCTTAGGATTACCAAGGACAATCCACAAACCAAATTTGAAGTTCATATGTTAAGTATTTCTCAAGTTATCGCGCTGACAAGATTTGTCCGGACACACACACCCACACAACGTCGGTGCTACCTACATTATGTGGACGTCTTTTGTTCGGAAGTCCACACTGCGTATGTAAGACAAACTCACCCACCCACACACACACCCACACACCCACCCACCCACCCACCCACCCACCCACGGAAGGACAAGGCGGAAACAGTATGCCCCTTCGGCTTCGCCGCGGGGCATAAAAAGAATTCACTAACAAAAGATTTAACAGAAGCATTGAGACAAACATCTGGATAAATGATGAAAGGGATGTCAAGTTAAGGATGAGGTCAGAGTCCAAGTTCAGTAAAAACAAGAAGCATAATGATACTTAACTGATATACCTTTTCGAGGCAAAAACAAGTGTAATTGTCCTCCAAATTGCAAGATTATACGTGTCGACTATAAATTTACATTTCAAATTTAACCAAATAGTTACCCACCCCTCACGGTTCACTTGTCTTGTGACGTCAACATTTCTCGATTTTCTTAAGCTCTTCAGTTATTTGCTCGTTTTTGCAAAATTTATGACAACTTGTTTTACATCGTGGATGAAAATTAAAAAGTACGAGTCTGGAGTCGCTCCATCTGTGCGTTGTGAAATGTTCACGCCGAGACGTCACGGGTAAGGGCCCACCTGCCCCAACGCCCCAACATTTTGCACTCTCGGTGTTTCATTGATTTCGTGTCACTGAGGTGGAAGTACACTGCCCGAAAATCCAGCTGTTTGCTGGCGCTCGTTTCCCGCCCAAATCGATTTTCCCCCGCAACCGAAACGATATGTAATAAAAGAACAGCTCGTCCTGTAAGTTCGTCTGAGGAATTCAGTTGTTTTCGACGAGTGAATAAATGTTGACTTTTCAAGATTTTGACATTATAATAAAGAAAAACAATTTGACAGTGGAAACTGGAGGACCGCCTTAACATTATGACTGTCAGTTGCAATAAAATACCGATAGTCTGATACAATGATTCGGGTGTCGCAGGTTCGAATCCAGTTACAGTTAATTTCACCAGGGTGTTCATATAATTTGAAACTTAAAACATGAAAAATAATCGTGTATTGGTATTTACTTAAAACCATTCAATCTGCATTTCCTCTCAAGAGGAAATTCTAGAACAAAACACAAATGTTCAACAGAAAAGATATTGAAGAACTCTGGAGCTCTATTGTACAATCACTCCTGTGTGTCTCTTCATTAAGAATTTTGCACAACAGCCTGCGTTAGTTCATTAAAAACAAATAAGACTTGCCTATGAGAAAGTCGTAGACCGACATGTCCATGAGGTCCAGCAGTCTCCGGCCCGTCTTGTACGGGTGCTTCGTCATGACGGACCGCTCACAGTAAGTCGGGTCCTGCTCCCATCTGCCAGATTTGGAGGAGAAATGAACAGAGTAAGAAATCTTTGGTTCATTGTTAGTGCAACAAGGTCGTAACTCGAATCTGCAACAAAGTCGTATCTCGCACGAATACGCTCCGTGCAACTACGACATATCTCGCGTTTCGCAACGTCCATTGACTTTGTGTGTACATCGGGTTATTTTAAGCGAGATACGACATTTTGACATTGAAAACTTTGCGTTTCACGTACATGACGTCACATGCCATTTTAGGAGATACAACCTTGTTGCACGGACACAACGTTTTGAAGAAAGCTTTTTAGATTATAAAACTGTTGGTGAAGAAACTGTATGTGTGGAGGAATCTTTTTTATCCTTTACTTGTACTTTTTCCAAACGTTATAATCTGACCTTCTTCAAAGGAAAGGCCAAAGTCAGTGACCTTTCAAAACCAGACAATGAACTTTCCAATAACTATTCAACATTTCAATCGCTCTAATCGTATCATCCTCCAAAGGGATGGTCATGGAGTTTGACAGACAAAACGTAACCTTTACATTTCTGCCAGGGTGGAATTTACATTTGCACAGATGATCTTTATACGGAGAGGGTGTGGTCAAACAGTTGTCTAGTCGTCCCCGGAAGATGTAGGTTGTATTTTTGGTAAGAAAAGCCCCTTGTGCCTCAGGTTTGCTGTATGTAAAATAAACTCAAATGGGTCTCTTGGGAAACAATTTTTTGATACTTAAGACTTCCTCTCCAAAGGTGAGGCTAGATTTATCTTTCGGCAACGGATTGGGAAGTGGGCGTGGCGCGCTCACGCCGTCTGGCTGGGCTACTTGTCTGCATGCAATGTGAGCATCAGAACAACTTGACAAGCAACAAATTCAACCCAGATCTCACCGGAAAAAAGTTAATACCAGAGTTGAAGTCAAGTCCGTAGACAACGCAAATCACAAGCCTTATTTCAAGTGTAGGCTTCACCTTGAGTGGCCATTGAAAAGACATTGTGACTGATGGGCGAGTCTCATAATCAGGCAGAAGTAAGTTCACAAGTGACTGGGGATAAACAATGACAAAGGAATGCCTTTGTTACAGTTCATCTGAATAGATTGCCACTTGACTGGGACTAGGTGACTTGTGATTGATTAACGATGACGTTTGATTGACTTACGATGACGTTAGATTGAATGACGATGACTTGTGATTGCCTTACGATGACCTGTGATTGACGAGGACTTGTGATTCACTTACAATGACGTTTGAGTAAATTACGATGACTTGTGATTGATTTACGATGACTTGGGATGACTTACAATGATTTGTGATTGACTTACGATGACTTGGGATTGACTTACAATGATTTGTGATTGACTTACGATGACTTGTGAGAACCCATGAGTACTCGACTGCCCGTGCCATTTGCGCAACGACTTTTCAGTATTTCCTAAGGTGGATTTTCCTGGTTTTGAGAGGTTTTTTTCAAAGCATATTCTGAACAAGGCTACGCCAAGAACAGGGCAACACGAAAGAAAAATAGAAGAGTAGGTGCTCAGGAAAACTGAAGGTAGGAAGTAACATTCCTCTTGAAACAAGACAGATCAGATAAGTTGGAGGGAGGAATTGGTCAAAGGTTCCTTTGGTCATTTTCATTTGGCGTAACTGACAAACCAACTCCCTTGACCCTATACTCACACTGCTGTTCTGTGTTTGCTGTAGGATCGTCTCCAAGGATGACGCCATGTCTTACGAGGCGCGGCCTTGAAGGACGGTAGGTAGGCGGCCACCGACCCCTCGATCATGTCCGGCTTACCGCACACGGCCGTCTCTGTCTCGCAGTAGTAGGAGCAGTGACCCACGAAACATATATTGTTGGCTGGACACAGAAAAAAGATAAATGTAAACATTTTCATACATCCATAATGCCTTTTAAAGACTGTGAAACTGCACTGCACTCTTATTGTGATTAGCCTTTATCTCGCAAACTTTCGGAAAGCACTCATTATAAAATAATTAAGTTATAAAGTGCAAAACACGAAATTCAACATTGCAATGCAAACTGTTAATTATTCCCAAATGATACAAAGGGTCATCGCTGACAACCTACTAGTTTGCTGGTTGTCTGCGACAAGTGAAGATGCATTGCGATGTTATCTGGTCTGTGATCTACTGTAAGAACTAGTGAATTGATGTGCAAGCCCATCTGACAACATAACTGGAGACAAGTAGACTTCAATGGTCGTGTTTCATTTTTATTGTATATCGGATTCGCCAGTGAAATACTGTGTGTTGCACTTACAAATCCTACAGTAGACATATCTTCGTTTCCCCTCTAGAGGCGTGTTTGCAGATTAGAAAATCTCAGTGCATATTAGTACGCGATTTCCTTTCCCAAATTCTTGACTAGACATGGATCAAATAGGCTTTGTCCATTTTGAAGTCATCATCAATTTGCAGTTTGACAAGGAATTTTTTTAAAAAGAACCCTTATTTCGTGACCCGATACGGATCGAGATATTGACGAACAGAGTGAAATGTGATTATTTACCAGGGGAACGGAAGAATGTTTTCCGAAGACCCGAATCAGCCAAATCGTAGATGTCGGCCGTCAAGTTGAACCACCGACCTGCGACAGGGGGCGCTCTCCGAAAATCTAAAATTCTGGACGAGAACACGATAAAGCACACGATAAAGGTTATTCTGGTAAACCTTAGGTAACTATTACAGATTCAGGTTGGGGAGTCAGGTTGGCATAGCGATACTTTCCTCGCCTTCCACCGCTGTGACCCGGGTTCGAATCCCGCCTGGGAAAATATGTGGATTGGGTTTTCAGTCCCTGCCTGATTCCGTGGGTTTTCCCCAGAATATTCTTCTGGGCTTTTCCTCCCACCTCTAAAACTGTAACTTCTTCTCATTGTCTTCTCTCCCCAGGTTTTTCTCAGGCTTGCGAGCTACAGTGCCTAGGGCGCTTTTGAGGAATCCTTGGTTTCATTATCAGAAATGATTAATAATAATAATAATAATTTTCTATTGTGGATGCTAAGAGTAGCGAGATAATTGTACGGGTTTAAGAGTAACATTTAACGTAGCCGATCCTGTGACTGTCGAACTTAGAGAATGTTTGTACGGTATCTTCTGAAGAGGACGAAAAGAGCGCATGGTCGTAATGGATTTCTAATACCATTAGAAAGAAGTACGCATCAAACAATGTATTTTCCCACCATACCAAACTTCAAATCTACCAAAACCATACATTATTGTATAATATTTTGATTTATAATTATGCTCTTACCTATCAAGGTGAAAAGCTGCTATTTCAGCGTTATGTCGTTCTATATCGGAAAAGTAGAAATGGTTTGGTAACGTTTCGTACTCCCGCGGAACTCTGTAAAACAAAACCACACAACGAAAAACGATTTGAATATTTTGAAAATATGCCATTCATGCGTGGACAATAAAAGAGGACTCAACAACTTTGAAATATTGACAACAATAGTATTCAATGGTAACATCACTGTCCATTGCATTATTGAGGATTTTCTCAAATTTGTCAAAACGTCATGCGCATAAGAGTGTACCATATTTTCGCACGAAAACGCAAGTCGGAAAAGCATAATAATAACAGGTAAGTCGGGAACTGAAAATGGGCCAAGATTCATCGAAAACGAAGCTCACCACAGAGCGAATCTATTGCTATGCAAATTCGTCCTTTGGTATTGCAATCAACTGATAAATCTTACTCACCTCCATGGTTTGAAAAGTGCATGGCCACCGTCTTCAAACGTTAAAATAAGTTTCACCTGAGTACCTCCGGATTTTTCGTCTGGTAAAAAAAACCAAGAGAATGAAAATTTAATGATAAATATTCATAAAATGGTCTCGTATGAATTTCAAAGACTAAAATTCCACTTTAGACATCAGACAAACTATCATACACTTAGGACTCCGTGTCAGAACGACGGCCGAAAAAAATTGCCAAATTTGAAAGTATTCAATTCATCTTGTTTATCAGACAAGTTGGCGAGAACAGCTTCTATTTTGCTTACAATCTCTCAGATTTCAGTACAGTATCGTGTTCAGAAATGCTCAGGTTAGAGGGGGAATGACATTACGCAATGACGTCACATCAACTTCTTGACCACTCACGACGTCGTTATGCCGCGTCCGAGTAGGCGAATTTCAAATCCAAATTGAAAAGCGAGCCTCTCAATACTAACCCATTGTATGACATTGAGGACCTTTTGTTTTTCAATCCTCTCAACAAAAGACAGCACTTAGGCCCTCGGTTTCAGTGCCAGATTTGAAATTCGTAAATTGCTTGGCTACGGCTGGAATTAAGACTCGGATCTATAAGAGCGGCTGCAGCCGCTTCCATAGACGTGTATGTTATTTCCAGTCGTAGCAATGTACATTTGTAATTTGGACGTGGCATTAGCCTGAGCCACAGCCGAAGTCGCTACAGCCAAAATGCCTTTTGGGGCGTTTTACCCTTAGCTTGTGCCACCGTCCACTGCGATAGAGGCCACGATTGAAAGGGAAAGTGAACTTACCGACTTCGTAGATCGGATGCGTCATGAGGTACTCTAATAGGTCGTCAATCACGCTGGTGTTGGAATAAACTTCAAAACGATTGATGCCGAGTTGAAAAGACTCCAATATTTTAAATTCGTGTTTCCTGAAAAGAAAACAATACAATGTGGGGAAATTAAAGATGAATTCCTCGTGCTATTTCGAGTTTTCCAATTGCTATTTTTTTTAACAACATAAATATTCACTTTTGAATGAGACATTGAAGGAAGAAATCCACCAACGTTTAGTTATAGACTTATTTCTTTAAAGAATACCAATTATTTGAAGGGCTGGTTCGTTAAATTTGTGCGCAAAATGAAAACCCCTTTTCAGAGGGATGCAGACGCCAAAATCCAGGGAAGTACTATTCGATAAAACAAAGCACAAATACAAATTAAATTCGATAGAAGAAAAAAAAATTAAAGAACACTGGGGCACGTGCATTTATGACAATTATAAAAGGAAGATTGTTTTGCAAATAATTATTGTAATGTGGATATGTATCACACGGGAGAATCATTACTAGAATATGTACGTGAGGTGTGTTAAGTTTGAGGCTAATATTTGAAGTGCTGAATCTTTTTGAATGAGAGTGTAATTGGTAGATGTTGGAAACAATATCCTATATACATGTAATCAGACTCTTTATTGTTCAGGACTTGGGGTTCAATTTAAAGTCACTGTGTTGGAACGACTTTGGTGACCGTTTTCCCATTAAATCTGAAGAGCGACCTCTATTATTTTGCAATAAATGTTGAAGACGAATGCAAACGGACTTCCTTACAGATTTTGTTTTATGACAAATTTCTTATGCATGCCGTTTTGTTTCCCTACAATCAACGTCTAAATGAGTATTATTTACTATAGTTTGAAATTTGAAGCATTTTGTCAAAAGCCGAGTTCAACATGGCGAGTTACCGGTCATCTCTGAGAGGAAAAATATAAAAAAAATTCTCGCCATCACTTCAATGATAACTCAGCATTTCAATGTCTGGTCTGCAAAAGGTCAACTTCTTTATTGAGGAAAAATGCGTCTCCGCTTCAAGTCTCGCTAGGTATCACAGAATCTTGACAAAATGCCAGGAATTTTTGCAACACGTCCGACGTGCTCCGACGCGACAGGCGGCTTCCGCCGACGCGCCGGGCTCACCTCGCACGCCATGCCCGCCGCTCACCCCGGTCCAACTCGGCCGAGGGTGACTCGGAGGCCAGCGTATGAATGTTGCCGGGCAAGGCTCGCCTTGATTGCTCGACGATGAGACGGGATGAGGAAGACAAGTTCTTATTTGAACTGTCATCCTGGACCGCTGTCAGAGAGAGAGGATGCCGTGGCAATAAGATGCGCTCAGATATGGACGGGTTTGCAGGCCGTTGGCCTCTTGGTTAAAGGGAAACGCAATGCCACCGATTAGAAAAAAACATCTTAATTTATATTGTTTTGTGAGAAACTTTCACAAGAGATTTTAGATTTTCCACCTGCTTATCAGATCTGTGTGTTTTCGCAAGGGGAAGATTTATTGATTCTATATTCCTCGTGTGAAAAAAAAACTGACTGGTTTCTTTTCTCACGAGTGTTCACCTTGTTCGTTATCGACGAACAGCCCGTCCGAAGCATTAAGTTCAAACCACTCCCCACTTTTCTGAACCCACCCCCCCCCCAACCTCACAAACTCCAACCTTGTTGGTCAAGACTATAGATCGATTGCATTCAGCCGCCATCTTTGTGGTCTGTTTTGTGATGTTAATTCATTATACAATTAATACAAAAGAGGTCTACCCGTGTGTGTATCTCTAAGTTGGATAAAACCCTACGCCTCGAAGAGGCTGCACATTTCCTTCTAAACATCAACAATTCATTGAAAATTTCCTTTTCAAACAGGAATCCGCGATAAAAAAAAACATTACATTTCCAGAACGGGCAACTGTTACCACATATTTTTGCAACACAAATTGCTCTGGACAAATAGAAGGAGCAATAACGCTGAGTAATGACTCGTGTGCAATTCCTGACGTGCGTCTCTTCAAAACGACGAAAATCCGAATTGACAGTAAAGAAACATGACATGACTCATTTGTATTAGTCATTGTTTCTTTCAAGCGAAACCTGTGCATGTTGCCTTTTCCCCAACTGTAAAAGGCAGCTTCAGTTATACGACAGCGCGTACCTTTAAGACATGGTGAACGACCGTGCACAGCCAAGGGAAGATGACAGGTCCCATCCTGACACGTGTACCTAGGATCCAACTTCTTGTCTTACATCTTTTCTGACACACATGCATGCTCACGAAATGTGACATATTTCTCATACTAGAAAGCGTCTACATTGCTTACATTTTTCCCACCTAATCCTTTACTTGAAAATGTATTGGAAACACAGTTAGCAGAATGTTACACTATAATGCATGAATGTTCAGGGGAAAGTTGTATGGTTGGAGCGACAATTCGCTAGCAACTGTATGTGCATTACTGAAATTGCCAAAGCTTCAGTTCAGATATCATTTTGGATGCCAAATTGTATTACAAATGTTGGTGTGAACCTAGCCTAACTCATTGAAAAAACTGTGAAACAAAGGTATATGCAAGAGACGTCTCTGATGAGGGTTGGGGTTATGATTTTTACAAAAAAATAGTAATTCGTATCCTTAACTTTGATTCCATTTTTGACAAAACCCGTTTTGGGCATGCCTAAATGGACGAATTAGGAACAGGGAAAAGTCAAGTGAGAGTTAGAGCCCAAGAGACCTGATTTCATAGGAAGCTAATTTTCAAATGATGACACCGATGAACATATTTTTCAGCGATCTGATGTCGCATCAATCTCTGTGTACTTATATAGGAATCAATCCCTGTAGTGTGTAGGAGCATATAGAAACGAAGTGAGATGACTGTCTGAATCCTGCAAAATCTTTCCAAATTTCTGGTGAAAATCGAAGGATTTAGGAGAAAATTAAGGTTCATGACAGAAACAAGCAACTGGCACGACAAGGGAGTAGGCATAATCTTCAAGGAGAATACGAACAATTCTTCCTTCAAAATACCGACTTGTTTTTTATTGGAATATGTTCACTGTGTCAAATTTCACTCGAATCCTACGTTCGTTACTCCCAACATATTGCATTATGTCTTCTTCATGAGAGTGAAACCAGTTTGATGAGACTAATTGACTTCATCCTTTCCTAACCCGAGATTAAAATTAACTCCCGGCCTAGTAAGTTCAGCTTCAATTCTAGAATTAGCACTGCAGGCTGGGTCATTTCTCTCGGCACAGTGACCTTATCGAACAAGACATTTGGCATTTCAAACTTACGCAGCGTAACAACAGAATACATTCACGTGTTGTCTACCATATCATATGCCAACATATAGTCATGCTTGCACCTGTTTGATTGTCCGCCATAATCAGTGCTTGCCTACAAATGTACATATACAGGGTACAGTGTATAACGAAAGATATTGCAGAACCCAACTTCATTTCCAGGACACGTAGATCCGACCTTCGTGGTGTCAATATGAATCATCGCATCCGGTCCGACAACACGCAGGGCTAAGCATAAGACGTCGAGGTGGAAGACTCTTATATAAGTCCTCATATTTTTAGAAACCACAATTATATTTCAAAGAATAATATTTTTTGCCTATTTCTCGTTATTTATTTAAAAAAAAACTGCATGACGCATTGCCGAACCCTACATGTATTTCCGGCTACAAGACAATACACTGGACCGTGCCCTACATGTCACATAAAAGTGCACTTCCCGACATCTACTTTCGATTCTGGTATCGATCCCGCCAAAAAGCGACGCCTTCGATGTACTAGCAAACCCCGCGCGACCCGGTCATCTACCGATTCCATGCATAATTCCGAAACGGGAAATCGAGCGGTTTCGGTCAGTTTCAATTTCCACCGAACTAGTAACAGCGTGGTTGTTTTCCTGAAAAGCTAACAATGCTCGTCCATGTTAAGCACTGGCAAGACTGTTTTTCTTTTCCTCTTAGTTTCTGTTCAATTCACGGAGGTCTATTTTCATCGTAAACCGGAGGTCTGTTCCGATACTTACTGAATCTACAACTGACGACTTTTACAATGCGCGCGACGACAATAATCAGAATGAAAGACAATTCCATACTCAAAGAAATCTTACATTTCAGAAATTTAACGGTATCGGTTTCAGGAATGGCTGAAAAGACGCAAGACTTCTTCCGAGATTGGAATACAATACAGTCCTAAACAATGCGGATTCCTATTATTTCAGAAATCCGCCCGGAGCTGAGATGATTTTTCTGGGAAGATGAAGGTGCGAAATGTTAAATAAGAAGGAAGGACTGCCAAACGGTCGACTGGTGCTATTAAACCAACTGCACACTTGGGTTTGAGATCTTGGTATAACAGGCAAACTTGCAACCGACACAAATTTGCATTATGTGAAATTTGGACTCTTGAAAATTATGGAGTCGATGACAGCATCGCGCACGCTTCAGCACAAATAGAACAATGAAAAAGTCACCGACGCAAGTCAGTGGCCATCTTGTTAAATAATTCTGCATTTTCAAGAAAAACGGAAATAATCAGATTCCTCTTTCGAGGAATAATCAGATTCCTCTTTATGACAGGATCAAAAAAGCGCGTTGTGTCAGAAGTACCTCTGATCATGCTTGAAGGCAACCACAACATTCACAAAACCTGACAAATGTGTAACACCATCTTGTTATATAATTCTGCATTTTCAAGAAAAACCGAAATAATCCGATTCCGCTTTCAAAGCTCTGCCCCAATACGACAGAGCACTTTTAATCTTTGAAACGTCTTTTAAAGAAAATGTTGCAGAGACATTTTTATTATAATTAATGACAATATCAACCCTTTACGGCATATCTGTTTACCACGGCTGATGCAAAACGTAGCTTGAGACTAAAGCATTAAATATTACATTGCATGTTTTCTTTAAAGAGATCTGCAGTCCCATAAACACCAATGGCATACAACTGAAATCACCATCAACGGAACGAGTAGGCCGACTATTAAAATGACGTCGGGCTCAATTATTATTACCTACAATACGATCGTTAATAGTTGCTAGGAAGAGCTTGTCATAATCAAACCAACAA